GGGCAACCTTATCAACACTTACAACTGTGTGAGTTCCACATTGCCTATTATCAATTATACTGTTCTCACTTACACGCTATTGACTTACCTTGGCCCCTTAGTGTTATCTATTGCTCCGCTTTTAACCGCGATACTCTTTATATCTCCTGCTTAGCTAGTTAAGTACATCTTCCCCACTACATTCTAAATGCTTATATCTTGTTTGAAAATTCTTACTATTTCTCCATAACTGTTAACTGTATAGCATTGATGCCTAACCAATAGTTCATAAGTTGTAATAGCCAGACGAGTTTGTGAAAGGAACTTGCAGAAATAGTGTTTCTCAACAGGATGCGAGACATAGAACACCAAGTAGAACTCAATAGCTTCTTTTAAGCATTTAACATGAGCCTAACAACACAAAAGGAGGGAGGGTGGAGTTACTGACCAGCAAACATTGATGGTGTGGGCGATAACTTCAAACCACCCATGTTTGTGGGGCAGAACATTTTGTTTGCTTTCGGCTCTTTAGATTGATGAGGCGACTAATCAGTAACACTGAGGTTGCTCTTATACGCTTGCTACTTCTGTGGTTCATGTTTCCAAAACTATTCTGAGGTCGCTATTCTGTCGAGACACCCGCAACATTCTTACTCAGGCGCTAACAGTATGACTTAGAGGTTGGCATTCAATAATAAAAAAAAAACAGTTAGACAGTGCGAGATTTTATTCATCAAATTTTTATTTTTACAAACTCTACTCTTTCAACTAGAATTTCGATTTCAACGTACATAAATCCAGCTTCTTACTTCGACTTCTTTTCTATCCACCTGACACTGCACAACTCTCCCTTCTTTTTGCTGTACTCCTTTATCTGTGTGTTATATTCTTATATTCCCATAATTTACTTTAATTTAAGTGGTCAGTATGAATTTTATCTTGACTTACTACTGTATTGACTACTTCAACATGACAGGTTAAGTAGTGCTTTGGTTATATATATACACTTGCCACACTGCTGCCTTTTTCTCTCTCTCTTCTCCTTTTCAGAACCCCATTCACGGTGGGAAATCCTTGGCGACTCTAGGGAACATGCACCCTAGGTACATGACTGTCTGGATCACAGCTCGTATCAAGCGCGTTCCATATGACCTTTCCCAACAAATTCACTATTGATCGCAGCAAATCGCCAAAAGAACCTATTGTGCATCTTCCTTCCTTATTTGTACTCTACTATTGAAAATGTGGCTGTATAATACTGTTTCTGTTGTAACGGTTGCTTACGATATTTCCCGGCTAAATCTTATTGCTTAGTATTCTTGACACAAGACACTGGACAAGTAACACAAATCAGAACACGGTTGAACAGGAAGGATTGTATTCCAAAATAGCAAGGAAAGAAGCTGGAGGTGATGGCGAAAGCCAAGGCGAAAAGGCTTGAAAGCGAAGGCTAAGAAGGCTAGAAGGCAAAGAGAAATACAATGCGAGTCTATTTATAGCCTTTACATGAGAAAACTTCTGGAAGAAAATTCACGTGATCAACTGGGCTGGATTTGACCAATCAGCATGCAGCTAATAATACGAGAATTTTCTATCCTGTTCTCCAAGCTTCGATCAGGCGCTGATTGGATAGGAAATTAGCCAATCAGCGCGCAGCAACGTAGTCGTGCTTCAATTCCATCTATGTCCCGCGAACAGTTTCTGTCAGTGACATGGTGTAAATATGCTATCAGAAACTGACTCTTATACTTAATTTAACTGCTATATCTTTACAGTAATTGTGAAAGCATTTGTGACAATTTGATCTAGCCTGTAAACTGGCATGACTCTTGTAACGTAGTTATTTGAGAATAAATTATTATTATTATTAGTAACTTGCCTTCATTATTCTACAAACCTACAGGTGTAAAGTTAGTGTTCTAATACAGAAAAACAAAGGTCCGAGTAATCACACCTTAGTTTTATCCAAAATTACTATCTGCTGAGTCACGACTCATCTTTAAATAAGACTATTTTCCGTCCTTCTCCTCGCTCATTTCTCCCAATATCTTTTCTCCAACACCTCATCAAACTCCTTAAATATTAGCCTGGATAACTGCCGAAGACTCGGTTACCTTTCCTAGGAGCCTGCAAATTTATTATCTGACAAATCTAAAAAAACAGATGTTTGCATATTTACCTTGCATTAGTTTTCAGCCGTCGTAACTAGCGTCAACTATCGTATTGTATATTGCAGAGTCTGAAATATTGTCTATAAACTTATGTGCAAACTTCTAGACGTCTTTAAGAAACCAGTGTATGCTGTGAAATTTTTACGAAACTGAACAACATTTTACGGAAAATGTGTTGGCAAATTTAACACCTTGACCTTGCCCGTAAATAAGCATGCCTCTAGTAACAGGTTATTTGTGAAGAAATTATAATTATTATTAAATGTAACGCATACAGATTCTAAAACATGTATTAAAATCAGAGGAGATTCGGTAATGGTATAGAACATACTGACAACACCAAATCACCTCAGCAAGAGCATCTCAGTACACCACCAACAGCCATTGTAGTTAACAGACAAAATATCTCACACCACAACATATAGAATCGCTACTGCTTGAAATGATTTCTGACAGCATCAGGTGGATACTCACACAGGGATTATCGTCTTCAGCTTCGGTCGGTTGTGCCTTATGAGTGTCTTAAGAAATATAGTACCATTTTTGATCTAAAATATCACTCTTGACCTTATCGTTCGGTAAGCGGTTCTTGCTTCGGGTCTTATTGGAATAAATATTTAATAATAGTCTTTCCTCTTCAAAACATTCGATTTACACAATTTTTAACAATAGGGGTAAGTTGTGTAGTGTAACGAACACCACTTCAAACTGTGTAGGTGATGCGGTCAAGTAGAACCACATTCTATGCTTTCTGCTAATACAACTTGGTGCTATCACCCAACGATTTTTCATAACTCTCTTCAAAACCTACCCACGGCTACACATCTACGTTAACAATATTCTCGCACCCTCTTTCCTTGAAAGAGACTTAAATCTCCTGGATCTAGTACATAAATAGGCAAATGAATGGGTGGTAGGATTGAAGAGCAAACCCTATGAAGATAGACTACAACACTTCAGATTGTTCCCTTTAAGTTATGGGGTTACAGAAGTTCTACAACGGAATACAACATGTTACATACGCCGAATCATCCCAATATGAGCATCTTGCCAAAACATCATCACCACGTCTCTTGAGGTAACCCTCGAAAATTGCGCATCAAAGAGAGAATACTCATGTCCGTGTACACATTTTTTATTTTGAGTTGCTGAGACTTGAGATGCTCTCCCAGCCGAGGTGACCACAGCCTTCTCAGTGGACAACTTCAAGAAGCGACTTGGTAAACACTTATTCATATACAGACTATAATCGCCCTCCTGGACCAACTGTGCCTGATGCATTTCTTGGGACCTGCTAGTTGTTATAGCATGGAACAGTTGGACATCCTGATACGACCGGAAAATACCGGTGCACATAATATTTCCAGACCTTGAAAAAACCTTCCACACAGTACTTCACGCACACCTAAAAGCGAAGGTTGCGGAAATCGGCTTCACTGAACCACTTCTATCTTGGCCCAGAAACTACCTTGAGAAGAGAAAGTTTCGTACGAAGGTAAACACAGTGCGCGCGAGTTGGCTGGTCTCAACATCGAGAGTTTGACAGAGGACCATCCAAGGTCCACTTTCCTACCGGATATTTACAAACGATCTTTTGAACACAGTTAGCTCACCGGCATTGATCTACGCAGAAGATGCAAAGATCTGGAGGTCCATTAGAAGCGAAGCGGATTCAACTGAGCTTCAAAAGTGCTTTACATTCACTGAGGAGTGGGCAGTGACTAACGGTTTAAAGCTACACCAGCCGAAATGTCACGTCATGTTCATTCTGCCCCACACGACGCATACGATTTACACCCTCAATGGAAGACCGCTCCTTGATGCCCTCTCAGTGTGCAATCTCGATATGATAACCACTGAAAGCCTCCACATCAGCTCGAACTATGTAAGGGACGCAGCCAAGGCGAATGCAACTCTTCATCTTATGCGAAGACAACTTGAAGCTATCAACTCAGAATTATTCCTGACGCCACTTAAGACATATGCACGCCCAAGCCTCGAGGTTCACAACATATTCGCACCCTCCCTCCTTAAAAGGGACAAAAATTTCTCGGATCGGGCGCAGAGACGAGCAACGAAGTGGGTGATGGTGTTGAAAAATAAAATTTACAAAGATAGACTCCAGCATTCGGGATTATTTCCCCCTAAATTGTAGGATAAATAGAGGTGATCTGATTATGGCGTACCACATGTTAAGCACGCCAAACCATCCCAATGTGATCATCTTACCGATGCATCACCACCACTCCCCTTAAGGCAATCTTCGAAAAGTTGCGCATCAAAGAGTGAATACTCAGGTTCGTACACAATTTTTCTTATTAGGAGTCGTTGCGACTTGAAATGCTCTCCAAGCCAAGTTGACCACAGCCTCCTCAGTTAACAGCTATGAGGAGAGACTTGAAGAACACGCACTGATACGGACTATCATCTCATTCATAGATAAGCTGTGCCTGATGCATGTATCAAAACTTGTTAGTTGTTAGCACTGCCATCTCCTCAGATCAGTAACTTAATCTGTCTAGCCTATTATCTCTGTTCCCTCTTCCTTGCTAACACTTCGGTCCTCTCGAATGGTCTTCACAACCAAATAATAAACTAGATTATCTATTTATTTACTTAGTTCTGAAATACTCTTCTTATTAGCATTAGAATTTTCTCGTTATTATTCTCCAGATTGCACGATCTTGTAATGTGATAGCTGCTGGTATCCAGAAACCCTATTTTCCTGAAACAAACATATTTATTCAAACCACGGGACATGCAAACCCACAAACAGCTACCAACTGATTAGAATCAGGCAGTCTAGTGGCAAGACCCCCATCCACTGGACACTTCCGAACGCCTGTATTCGCACCGAAAGAACAAGAATAGAGCTCTAAGAAATTAATTGGCTCTGGTAGCTTGTGAAAAAAATTTATATTTTATATTAGCTCTTAAAAAAATTGGATATTGGTATAAATTGGTTTACACTAACTTGTGAAGAAGATATTGGATATATATTGGAATGACATTCAAAATCACACGCTATTATCACTCAGCTCGGGTTTGAAACTTATGTTATTTGTGAATGTTGCAACTTATGTTATTTCTGATTGTTGATTGCTTTTTTGATTAAATGTTAGTTCATTCTACGTGCTTACTGAGTCATCGGCTCACTTTTTCCTTTCTCTTTCAGATAACCTCACATACTGCTCCCCACGCTTTCAAAGATAAATAAATCAATACAATGGATGGTGCAATAACACAGTGGTTTGAACTTGATAAAGCCCAGAAATACAAGGAGGCCTACGATATCATTTGTGATGCAATAAATAAAAATAAGCATCCCGATTTATACTGGAGAAAAGCTCAATCCTGCAGAAATCTAGGTGATTTTTACCAAATTACATGAGTTTTTACTAACAATTGCAAATACCAGCTAACTCAGTCGGTAAAAACGATAAACAAGTTTACAAAAAATACATTGAAGAAGGTCTTTTAACTTGCGAGCAAGGACTTCAGATAGATCCGGAGCACTCGAAGTGCAACTCTGTATGATTCATATTCGATTAACTTAATTTCAATAGTGGTACGGAATATTTATAAATTTAACATCAGAACTTGAAGGAATAAATAAACGCATAGAAAATTCTTTTAAAATAAAGGACCATTGGCTGGTAATTTTATTCTACCAAATTTATCTCTCAGAAAGCCATTGAAGCCGATCCTGACGACTTTCTTACACTACATGCTCTTGGCAGGTGGTGAGTCACATATCATGTTTCATGACATTTTCGTAGGTCGATCATTGCCAGACCACCACTAGAAACCTGGGGAAAATGAATGGCCGTTTCGTCCTTTGTATAGGGCTATGCAGATCCACGGCACCCGCTCGCAGGGACCGAACCCAGAACATTTTGTCTGGCGCGTTAACACAACCTCTAGATTACTGAGTCCCATACCAGGGCGAAACGACCGTCCAGTACTTCCAGATTTTCAGTGGTGGTCGAACAATGATTGATTTATGATTCCAGTGATTAATAATCATCGCCATAACTCTATAATGAATATTTTCACAGGTGTTACGAAGTAGCAGATCTCCCATGGATAAAGCGAAAGTTCGCTGCTACCTTTTTCGCTCAACCACCAACATCTTCTTTTGAAGAAGTAAGTTTAGATACTAATGTTACAAACGCTTTAGGCTCTTAAATTCCTACTTGAGTCAGAAAAAAGTAGTTTGTGTTTCTTGACGTGATACGTTCTTTATAGAAGCCCCGGGAGCTCTTGCGAAAAATTCTATTTACTTAGCGATGACGTACCAGAAGTTGAAGAATTTGGATCTAGCAAAACAATATTGCCAGAAAGTGTTAGAATTTACAGAGGATGACTATGATACTGTAGAAGTAATTAAATGTTTTTTGTTATATATTTGAAACACTTAGGCGAAACAAGAGGCATCCGAGCTGCTGAAGAAACTGTAAAGTATCTGCCCTTTTGTCTAACTATTCGACAATATCTCCTGAAGTTGAGTTTTGGTCTAACTTCCACTGTTATTATTTGCAATGTTTACCAGTATTTTTGACAATATAATTTGATACTGTTCTATCCATTTTGTTTTAAAATTTGTGTCAGCTGTCTTGATGAAGGTTTTATTGAAGACTTTAATGCAAACCAGCCTTATGCAATCTTAAAGACATATTTGGCTTAATTACTGCTAATTATTCTTGATAATACTCAAATTCTTAAGGTAACTGATCAATTGTTCGAACCAATGAGAATTTTGTTTCGAACATAACTATCAATCTGGATGTTATGTGCTTTACCCAACAAACTGTCTTTAGATGCCCACTTAATATCAACATATTGTATGGAAATGCGCGAAATTGGTTACTATTACTTATGTTTCGATTTAGGAGTTCACTAATTTGTGTTAGTATATATCTCTTGTCCACTCTACCTTATGTTAGTTCACTCTCCCGATTGTAGGGGTATTCGGTTTTCAACTTAAGCAACTCCAATTTACCTACTTCATATTCGACAATTAGTTAGTATAACCACCTTTTGAAAAATAAAACGTGACCGAAGATCGAGTACATCGGTCGGTCTTGCCAAACGAGTTACATGACGGCGTCCGTACGTAATTAATTCAAATAATAGTGTTTTGGAAAGTGTTTCACATGCTCCCTAGGACTTCTTGAAATTTAAATTAAGTCATGATGTAAGAGCCAGGTGAAATTAATGCAATCATTTATTCAATGAGGTTAATAATCCATGTTCCCCAGAAATATATTAGAGCTTTATGTACAAGCTCAGTTCTATAGAACTTGAAACTGAACTGTTCATCAGGAGTATCATTTCAAGTGTTACAGAGTGATATGTAAAATGGTTAACTATTTTTTTGATTTGTAAGATTAGTCATTTGAATTATATCAAGTGCTACTGAGTCTCTCCAAACGATAATCCTGTAGTCCTCTTTATCTGTAAATAATACACAAACTGTTTTCTAAAACTAGATTTCGCACCGAGGGTTTCGCCGTTTGTATTTTAGGCATATACAGTAACTGATAGATTTTCTCAGACTAAGCGTTAAACTTATTGCTGAAATTAATGATATATTTGTATAATTCATGTGATTTCATCCTGCAAGATGCACATAAATCCTAGTGAAAAACAAGATTTAGATTAGTATATACAGGAATAGCGTACGAAGTCTAACTACGAAAGAGTTCAATTTAAGTAGCCCTTTCGGATCCAGAAAAAACTGTCAAGTTTTCCAGTCGGTAGAGGCATTCATAAAGTTAATCATATAGCTATATGAGACCGTTTAGTAAAAACGAAACTTTTAATTGAAACAGTCACTCAGCCACAACGTAGAACTTGGTATGTACGTACATTAGTCCAAGTTACCATGTCGCATTAGAACTCCTGCTCCGTAAACTCCTCCTTTGGCTAGGAGGCGTATATTTTGCCTACGCCATAAGTGACGCAAATTGACAAACGCTAATCGAGCCTTTTGTATCCGTGCTGAGAATTCGTCACAAACCAGGCCATCAGCACTGATGAGACTCCCGAGATAAGTGAAGTGGTCAACACGCTCGAATACTCCACTCCCTATCACTAGTTCAGGTGCCGATGCAAGCCAACCCTGAAGCAACATCTTACATTTTGAGAAGGAGAATCTCATCCCGAACATGCTTGCATTGTTGCTTAGGGTGGTCAGAAGACTCTGCATTTTGTCAGCATCTTCACCAAGTAGAACTATGTCGTCGGGATATTCTAAGTCAACAAGTAAGTCTCCTGGTAGATTGTCAGCTGAAAGTCAGATGATGAAAGAGTCGTCTCTAAATGCATATCGATGACAGAGTTAACCTGATCGCTGATCACAAGAGGACTTCTGTCCTTCATTATAGTTTGGGACAATCAACGATTCAGACCAGTTAGATGAAAGTATGTCCAGCTTCCAAAATGCTAGAGCTAAGATCTAGCTGAAACAAGCTCATATCAACAGAAAAGTACATAAATGATAAGTCAAAATCTTGTGGAAACTATTTCTTGATTGCACGAGTTTGATTAACTTAAATCAAACAGTATGAAGTTAGTAAAAAACAATGTTAGTCAACCATGAAAATAAATTGTTTGTATAGCGTTCACAGTGTCTTTTATTCTAGCATGATAAAATGTTTACAAATTAATTTATATTTACTTCACTTAGTACAAACTTTGCTAACTCTCTGTAATTATTACTCTTATTTATCATAGGGTATAAAAGTTCTATAAAAATACACAACGTATGTCAATATATTTATGTAAATCGAAAATTCTACGGTAGGGTAACACAAATTACCTTTAGTGATTGCTAATTTAATTGTTAAAAGATATTTTTAGCGATTGCGAATGTTACTTCAGCTTTAAAACACAGAGATAGTACTGCAAAGTTTTGATGTTTGCACAAAGAATAAATATCCTTTCTTTCTTCTTTTTTTATTAACTAGTCTGGGGTAACATTTGCCTACCGCCTCGTCGAGCTTTGTTTTGTAGTGTAGGAATAGGTTGGAAGAAAGCTAGGGGCGGCCAAACCAATACATGGCAGAAATCCATGAAGTCATTGACGAGTGGACTTAGCCATGTCGGTAGTTGTCGACTACCTGGTTGGGGTCCGCGAGATGATAATAATCGATGGTTAGAGACCTTGAATGATATGGCTCAAAATCGTTCGCAATGGCGCCGGTGCATTTATTCTTTGTGTTCTCTCAAATCCTAATCTTCTGGGTTCTTCAACAACTCTAGTTTTGACTTTCTAAACTTTTCTCACTGAATCATACTTCGTGAATCATATCTTCTAATTCTAACCTCTCCGAATACTTCTAATTCCCTTACTACCTCTTCTACTATTGGATTTGAATTGATAATTATATCTCTGTGCTGATGTGGTATGGCGACATGAACTGATGTATTTACGTAGGAAGTTCTACGTTGCATCTGACTGACTGACTGACTGGTAACATTTGCCTAGCATCCACACAAATTGAACTACTAATAAATACTAGTCTGATTGATAGTAAGTAATCATCTACTCTCTTTAATTTAACATTTATTCGATCAGAAATATTTTATTTCACTGAGATACATGTAACGAGAAGTATGATTTGTTCATTTTTCTGAATCTTAAATTTACTGTGGTATAAATTTCACTTTCTCTAAACATCGGTTTTGTGAGTCGAGAGAGCAATTACTTTAATTTCATGGGCATTTCAATTATCTCGATAAAATTGGATATAATATTATAAAAATATTTTGAGAAGTTGAAAATAAGTACCTTATTCTAGTGAATTGTACAGTTGAAGATTAAGTTGAAAGCTAAGTTTTTATTATACCAGAGAATTTTTTTTCTTCATAAGGAGCATCCAGATATGTTCTTGCCCATAAATGTAAAAATACCTATTGAGGGTTAAAAATGTAGGAGAGTACGGGTGAGAAGTTATCAGGCAATGAAACGGCATCGTAGTTGTGGGATGCCTTAACTTGCTTTCTATATTGTTCATCTATATGATTAATGGTGCCCTTTTAATGTTATCATTTTGCATTTATATTAATAAGATGATACAATTGAACACATTGATATTATGATACACATCACAGTTTACTTCATGTAACTGTAACTACTAGGAAGGTCAGTCAGTCAGTCAGATGCAACGTAGAACTTCGTACGTAAGTACATCAGTTCATGTTGCCATACCACATCAGCACAGAGATATAATTGTCAATTCAAATCCAATAGTAGAAGAGGTAGTAAAGGTATTAGAAGTAATCGGAGAGGTTAGGATTAGAAGATATTATTTAAGAAGTATGATTCAGTGAGAAAAGTTTAGAAAGTCAAAACTAGAGGTGTTGAAGAATCCAGAAGATTAGGATTTGAGAGAACACAAAGAATAAATGCATCGGCTCCATTGCGAACGATTTTGAGCCATATCATTCAAGGTCTCTAACCATCGATTATTATCATCTCGCGGACCCCAACCAGGTAGTCGACCTGACTTCATGGATTTGTGCCATGTTTTGGTTTGGCCGCCCCTAACTTTCTTCCAACTTACTCCTACACTAAAAAACAAAGCTCGATGAGGCAGTCGGTGGTTAGGCATACGCAACACATGTCCCAACCACCTCAACTGATGAAGTTTCACCACTTCATCTATTCTTCATCCATTCTTACATAGCATCCGATTCCTAATAACAGTGTTGCTCACTCGGGTGTCCCAGGATATATGAGAAATGCTTCGAAGACACCTGTGATCGAAAACCAGTAACCTACGAATATCTTCTACTCTCACTAGCCATGTTTCGCAGCCATAAAGTAAGACGGAGCGAACCACTGCACAGTACACTCGTCCTTTAGTCAGCAAACGGATATCTCGCCTTCGCCATTAGTGACGCAGGTTGGCAACAGCCAATCGAGCCTTCTGTATCCGTGCTGAGATTTCGTCAGTCACCAGGCCATCAGCACTGATGAGACTACCCAGATAAGTGAAGCAGTGATAAGTCCTGGTGATAATTCACTGGTCAAATGTTTGTAATCTATTTAACACCTGATAATAGTGAAAAATTTGTAGTTAGAATTGTTAACAGACATATAATCTTATCACTATAATGATAAACAAGTATTTTAAATACCAAGTGTCATCACACAAATTACATTGCCAAATTATTTGTGTTGACAATGCCGTTGTTTGTGTTAGATTACGACTGATTGAAGAAGCACTTTCTGAAAGGCAGCATGTTTACAAAGTATTTTAAAGTCTATTTAATAAGACCACACGCTCTCAATTTTTCTATTAAATAACAAAAATGTGATTAGTTGTAATGACTTTTGTGAAACATTGTAAATAAAATAAAAATATTCTTATAAATTGATGAGGTCACCACTATGGTTCATGTTCAAAGTACAACATTCTTAAGCACTAATTATACTATAAACAAAGTATGCTGTAACTTTGTAAGTGAACTGAATCAATCAGACTTGGTTAATAGCATTTTCATACACGTCATCTTGACCTAAAAAAATTATTATTATTTATTAAGAATAATGTTTACATCTATTTATTTATTA